TTATTTTATCAAACTTAAAAGGCAGTTCTCGTATGAATAAGGTTTGTTATATAATTTACCTTCTTTGGTTTGTGTAACTCGGGGATGTATCTTATTTCCCTCTTATTATACATATAACGCATTACTATTCTATCCACTACAAGTAAACTCGCCTTTTAGGATTATTCTTTAATAGCTAAAGACTTTTATGCTTTAATTTTTTAGTAAGAGGCTAATTTAGTCTAGTATCTAGCATTTGTGTATAAAATTTAAAGGAAAAACAAACTAACCTTTGAACTTCTATCGAAATTCGGGATTAAGTGGGTATATTATTGTTGATAGTAAAATATGAAAAGCCAGATGTAGAGCTATTAACTTTGTTCGTGATTATAAAATATACATTTTTATCCAAATATTCTCATATATCGAATATATATACATATATGCTATGTATGATAAAAAAAAACAAACTGTTTGTAAGTTTGTTTGTATTGTGCGTCGGTGTTCTCTTCTGTACAAGTTGTACAAATAACAATAATAAATAAATATAAGTGCTGGTACACTGTAAAAATTTCAAAAATTCATAAGCGAATTGCATAAATAAAATTAAGTGTAAAGTTGGGAAATCAAAACAAGTAAAAAGTGTATGTATGTAATACGAACGAGTGAAGCAACGAGTGAAGCACTATTCGACGGTTATGACAGTGCAAATGACTTACGGTTGCTTGCACTTAAGCTCAACATCGTAAAACAATTTCGATGTAAACGCGCGGTATTGTGTAAACTGAAAAAGGATAAAATTTTTAGCATAAAAAGTGTAAATTGTTTTCTTCAAGAATTTCATATAAAATAATTTAATAAAAACAAATAAAACGTGTACATCATGTACAACAACAAAAAAGTGCAGAATTTTTAAAAAAATAGTTCAGTAAATTTGCAAGTGCAAATAATGTTCATATTAAAAATATGATGAAATATAAGAATTTAAGTTACTATAAAGTATATAGTATATTTATTTGTACTTGTATATGATTTTGTATGTTTAAAGTTAAAAGCAGTGGAGAAAGTTAAACTTATTTATAAGTTAAGAAACTTTGAACCATTTGATATGTAGAAGCAAGTAAAATTATTAAGTTAACTTTTATTAGTGGAACTACTGACATTTTCATTATATATTTTCAAACATATAACTTTTTGATATATACTAAAAACTTTACGTTATACGCTATAATGCCCTATATCATTATTTAATATAAAACTTTTAAGCAAAAAACGAAACAACTAAAAAATACATACATTTTGTACCTAACATATACTATACATAGGGGCATAAATAGTTAAAACTAACAGAAAACATTTGATAAAGAAAAACAATACGCTTTCAAATCCTTTAAGGCTATATGAAAGTAGCTTCAAACATCACATTGATGCCTAAGCCGTGCAACATCAATGACAGTCGCTCCTTCAACACATCTGTAATCAACAAAAAAAACAAAAACTGTTACAACAACAGCACAAAAGTTTACCAATAGCGAAGTTAATCCAAAGTACAAACGTCAAATGCATACATATAACATAAAAGTATCTTCAAGTGCTGCATCTATGGCAGATGCTACTACACTTGCTAGATATGCGAGGAACGTAGTTGAAAAAAGAAAAATTGATTGCACACAAGTGCACGCGCATAGGTACATGAGAAGACTTAGAGCTTTTGAATTGATTGCAAGATCAAGTTGGTAGCACTCAAATGTAAATATGCACACACACACATACACACACACAGATACATTCTAATATTTTTGGCTTAAATGCAACCACTTATGCAGTCGTGCAATACAACACGACACGTTACAAAAGTTTTGGTTGAATTGCTTTCGTAGCGCACGTTTTGCCAGAGTTTTACCAACATCAACGATATAAAAAATACAATTTATTTTAAATATTCTTCAAAGCAAAAACTCCAAAATGCATATTAAAGTCAGTTACATGCATTCCAAAGAATTTATACTTAAATGTATTTGCATAATACAAAATGGGAAATGGCTTTTTAGATTTTTAGTTTTTAACTGCTATATTTTTTTTTTAACTTTTTAGATAAAGTAATAGTTTATATTTATGTAGAGCACTTTGCTGTATTATATTGTATATAAATATAATTGATAGATTTGACCTCCGTTGATGAAAAGAAATTGTAAAATTATTTTATTGAAATATAATACTTTCAATGGTATTATAATAAAATATATAATATGATATAATAATATAATATAATATATAATAATAATATTATATATAATATAGCAACTTTAATTCAAATAATATGATTACAATCAAATACAAAAGCATTTCCTGTCATCAATTAAGTTTATGTTTATTATTTGGTTAGTGACGGTATTTATTTGGTATATCATTACCGTCCTTGTTGTCGGTCCCGATTTGACTACAGTTTGTGCAGCTTCCTTTTTATTTTCAACAGTATTTGTACAACAGTTATCACACTACTACTTATTACCACTTCAAAAACGCCGCGATTAAACTTCAAACATATTATTGTAAATTTTAAATATTATTGTATTAATATTAAATATTATTGCATTATGTAAATAATAAATGTAAAACTGTGTTGTACACGATTTTCAATGTTTTAGCTGTATTTTAACTGCAAAGATGCTGACGATAGTCTTGTCTTATCTTATTTCATTTACTTTTCAGAGTTAGACTAACCAGAGCAAGAGGAAATTTTCGCATTCAATTATCCATAACGAAAACATGTGAACTATTTTCTAATTATTAATTAAAGTAGAGTTATTTTTACAACCAGCCATATATCTCTTAAGCATAGTAATATTGTATACCATACAAAAATTTTTCAACATATTGGTAGTGCATTATTTATTTGTTTTTTTTATTATTTAATATAGAATTCAACAAATTTTTTTTTGTTAAAAAATGTACAGAAAAAAATAAAAATAATTATTTTAACAAGTATTATTAACTGCTTTTTATTTCGTCATATAAATTTAAACTTGCTGAAATTTTTTTTCCAAACTTTTTAATGCATATATTTAGTTTTAATATTAACTTTTACTAAATACAGTATATTTATGTGTTATACTATGTTTACACTTTGATAAAATAGCTTAAATTTAAGTTTACACAGCTTAAATAGCTATTAAAATTGTTTAATTATTAATAAAAACAGAATTGAGAAAATATTATTTGATTTCTTAAAATGCGCAGTAATTGCATTGTTTTATATTATATATACAGTCTTTAAACACTTGTTATTAACTTATCTTTAATTATTATCAATTAACTCCAACTATAGTTGTCAGTTATTTTGTTTTTTAAGATTTAAATACTTATTGTAAATCTTCTTATAAAAAAGTTTTAATAAATAAAATAGATATATTAAAAAAAAAAAATATATATATACACTAAGGCTAAACAAATATCTTTAACACATATTTATATGGATTTTATATGAAAAAAGGCTATATATTGGCTATATATTTATCGAGTTAAGTACAACAATCTGAACATAACAAATTCGCTTTTTATAAAAGTTAAAATGTATTTATAATTTATATTTTATTTTATATATATAAAAACGCCTTTTGACACACATTTTTAATTACAGTTTTACTGCAGTGTTCACTACAGTTTGCACTACAGTGCGTATGAGTAACAAGAAACTAAAATAAATAAAATATATGCACTTTAAAAAATAATTACAATTCATTAAATTCACTTTAGGTGTAAGCCTTGAATTTTTTTGTTTTTTTATTAAATATTTATTTATTTTGTTGTTTTATTTATTTAACTATCATTTTAACACTCTAACTGTTAGTTTAACTTAAAAGTAAACAAATATTTTCCGCATTCAAAACTTAATAGAAATTTTGTTTACATTTTTCACGCGTTTATACGCAGCAACTCGAAATTTTTCACTTCATTTAGATTGAAAATGAAAAATGCTTTCTATTTTATTTAATTTAGTTTACTTTTTTCTATATACAAATGTTTCTATATACAAACATTGCATTTGTTTATGTATTTGTATTTGTTTATTGCTTTCGATTTATTTAACCGCACAAAACTTTTGTTAAATTCCAATTTGAATTTTTTTCTTGTGGTCTCAAAATCGATTGCAAGTGATTTAAAATCACGAAATTGGATGTATTTGCATCCATTCGCAAATAGTTTTTATACAGCGGATTTGTTTGATGTTCTGCTGGCTTATGTTGATGGGGATGGCTTGCATGCAGATTTGAATAACCATAGCTGGATACATATACAGCTATATCCACTGAAATACAGGGGATACGATTTTTTTATTTTTGTGATGTAAAACAACAACAACTTCAATTATATACGAAGACAGCAAAACTAATATATTTGGAATAGATTTTTATAATTTATATGTAGTTAAACAGCATGCGAACATTGCAAATAACATACATTAAATAATGAATTTTCAAATTTTGGTCATAAACCTCATGTATGGTTAGAGAATGTAAAACAAAATTGTGTGAAACTTCAAATTGGCATGCAAATTGTATATTAAAATATATTTTTATAATCAACTTAATATATATACTTTCAAAAATCAAAACTTTTCTATTTTTTTCAAGTTCGTTATTTTACATAATTAAACATTTATTAACACTTAATTATCATTGAACATTGTACCCAGTCAA